CACGTCGCCCTCCCGAGCGCCTCGAACAACGGCGACAGCTAATGGACCACCCCCTCGTTGCCCCCGGCCAAGATCGCCAGATACAATTGCTACCACAAGGCCACCCCAGGCAACAACATGCCCTTCCCTATCTCCTCTTCCCCACCATCCTCGCCTCCTCTCAACCCCATCCCCAAATCCTTCACCCGCTGCTATAGTTGGCCTGGAGTACGCTGTGCTCTGTTCTCTACTGACCTCCACAATTGCACTACCTTCCACCATCTTGACCTCGCTGCCAACAACCTCATCGGGCCCGACCTGGCATCGCTGAGCGAGTTGTGGGTCTTGAATCCCTCACTGACGCCTTCTTGTGGGGCTCCTTAGCCCACCTCATCGGGCTCCAAGTGCTCAGCCTCGGCGATAACTCGTTCGACCCTAGTCCCTTCCCGAAGGTGGTGGTGAGCTTGACTAAGCTCAACTAGCCGGTTGCTAACTCCGCCCGCTACTGCAGTTGGCCCAAAGCCGCAGCAGCCTTCTCTGCCGTAGCAGCCTCCTCTATTGTAGCCTCTAAAATTCCAAGGATGCTGCGACATCTCCGTGGCTGCTTCCCGGCCCGCAGTAGCTGCCAGTAGCTTCTTCTGCTGCAACAGTTGCTATAGCAGCAATGATCTGCTCTTCTCACAAGTCTTCTCCATCCCTCCTCTATCTTCCGTGAAGATCACTACTAAAAAAAAACATAAATTAAATTATCTTCTTCTGATATTCCAGTTACTATTTCTGTAGGGACTCATAATACTTCTCCTATAGGGCTTATCTCCATCAATGTTGTCACGCTAATCCCTTTCAAGTTATCAAAGGGTGGCAACTATGCATCTTGGAGGGCTCAATTTTCTAATCTCTTATTTGAATATGACTTGCTAGGCTACGTTGACGACTCTTTTAGTTGTCCGCCAGCTATGATCAACATCCCCGAAGAACCTAGTCCAGTACCAAATCCAGCTCACAAACTGTGGTTGCTTCAAGATCGTCTCATCCTCTAAGCTATTCAAGCCTCAGTTGTTGGATCAGTCACTCCATTGATATTTTCATGTGTGATTGCTACCGAAGTGTGGTCTAAACTACAAACAGCCTTGGCGAATCATTCGCGTACTCACAAGCTCAGTCTTCTATCCAAGCTAATGGTGACAAAACAAGAAGGAAGTACTATCACTGATTATCTACAAAATATCAGAGTTATCATCGATGACTTGGCTTTGATAGGTCATTCCCTATGTGACGAAGAGATCATTATCTATACCCTTAATGGTCTCGGAGACGACTACAATGAATTGGCAGCTGCAATTCGGGCACGCGACTCGCTAGTATTATTTGAAGAACTCTATGACAAGTTGACTGACTATGAGACGTATTTGAAGCATAAGGACAAACTACCCGGACCGACTATCACAACTCAAGTTAGTCACAAGTCTAAGAGGAAGGGCACTTGGTACCCTACGAACACCACCAAAGGTTTGGCCAATACACATCTTGATCTTATGTGTCCCATGCAAAACCCCCCCTTATCCTCCTAATCATAACTTCTTGCAAAGTGGCAACTCCAATAATCGTCCGTCTTGGCATCCTACCCTACCAAGCCAACAAAGACGGGTCGTCTGCTAGTTGTGTAATAAAATTGGACACTCTGCTAAAGTTTGTCGGTCTTGACCAAGCCAACAAAGACGGGTCATCTGCTAGTTTCCCTGCTCCGTCACACTAGCCTCAAGCAAATCTCCTAACTACTCTGACGACTAGCCAGCCCAATTGGATTATCGATTATGGTGCCTTCCATCACATCACCTATGATCTTCAGAATTTGTCTCTCCAATAACACCTATGGTGGTGATGAAGATATCATCATCGGTGACGGTAAAAGACTTCCTATAACTCATACTAGTTCCACAACGCTTAATTCTGATACTACAACCTTTACACTCGATATGTTTTATGTGGTCGTCATATTAAACAAAACCTCATTTCTGTTTCTCAATTTTATAAATATAACAATACTTCAATTGAATTCTTTTCTAATTCCTTTCTTGTCAAGGACTTGAGCACAGGAGTATCCTTGATCTAGGGCCCGAATAAAGGTAACATTTACGAATGATCGTCAACTCCACAAATAACCCAGCCCACTGTTTACTCTTCCATTGTGGCTTTAGTTGATGTGTGGTATCGTTGTCTTGGTCATCCCTCGTCCCTTATTTAGCAGAAATTAGTTTCTCATTACTCTCTTCCTATTTTTAAATCATATAGTTCTATTACGCATTGTGATTCATATCTTAGTAATGAAAGTCATCAACATCCCTTTGGCTCATCTTCCATATCCTCCTCTAAACCATTTGAAATTATTTATACCGATGTTTGGGGCCCTGCTCCAATCTTGTCTTTTGATAAATTCAGCTTTATGTCAGTTTTGTAGATCACTTCACTAAGTACACATGGTTATATCCTCTTCACCATAAATCTGATGTTTCCACCATCTTTCCCACCTTTTGAAAGTTGGTTGAAAACTACTTTCAATCTACAATCAAGATGGTTTACTCTGACGGTGGCGATGAATATCAAGCCCTGGTATCTTATCTCTTAGCTTGTGGTATCCAACACCTCAAGTCTCCCCCGCATACTCCTCAACTAGTTAGCTCTGCCAAACACAAACATCGGCATATAGTAAAAATTGGGCTCACACTTCTACATCAGGCCTCTATGCCTTCAAACTTTTGGACAACAACCTTTCAAACGATCATCTACCTTATTAATAAAATACCTACACTAGTCCCCCTTTAACACACTCTTTCACAAACCTCCAAACTTTTGTAAACTCTGAGTATTCGGTTGTCTATATTATCCATGGTTACATCTATATACCTCTCATAAGTTAACATCAAGATCTAATCCTTATGTCTTTATAGGTTATTCTCTTGACCATAATGCTTTCTGCTGCTATAATCTTCACACTCACAAAGTCTTTATATCACGTCACGTTATTTTTATTGAGTTTATCTTTCCTTTCCAAAACCATACATATCCTTCCATGCGGACCGCTTCACTAATCATTCCTCACTAGAGTATACCTCCGATCCAACCAGATAAGCCTCCTATGTCATCGTCCAGTTCCTCCCCTCTAGATCCACACTTTACTACTCCTCCAATCCAGTAATTTCTCATTCCCTCCATTCCCACTCCACTCCTTCCTTCTCAAATTGATGGGGTCATAAGTTCATAAATGCTACCATTATCTTTACCTCCTTCTCGATCAAGTGATACTGACGTGCTTCCACTTGACCCGACCTGTGTAAATGATTCTCCACTGTTTATTCCAACAACACAACGTCACGATCCCATAATCTTCAATCATCCTATGACCACATACTCTAAGAGTGGTATTTTTAAACCACGTCAAATCCTTGACCTACATGCTATCATGGATTCCTCATCCACCACTATTGAACCCACCACCTTCACTCAAGCCCAAAAATCTTCGCATTGGCCTACCTCCATGTGTGAAGAATATAATGCCCTCCTCCATAACTCAACATGGGATCTAGTACCTTTTCATCCTACAGAAAATATTATCGGGTGTAAGTGGGTCTTTTGAATTAAGCGGAACCCAGATGGCTCTGTTGCTCGATATAAGGCATGCCTCGTCGTCAAAGGATTTCATCAAAGACCTAGAGTTGATTTCACTGAGATGTTTAGTCTCATTTTAAGCCCACTACAATCTAACTTATCTTGAGTCTGGCCACCACTAAGGGCTGACAATTATGACAATTGGATGTTAATAATGCCTTTTTACAGGGGGGCTCTAACTAAAGATGTTTTTATGCAACAACCTCCTGGTTTCACTCATCCTCAATGTCCAAGGCATGTTTGCAAATTTCAAAAAGCTATTTATAGACTTCGTTAGGCTCCACGAGCTTAGTACACTGAACTTAGCTCCTTTTTTACTTTAGTTGGCTTTATCAACTCCAAATATGATACCTCGTTATTTCTACGGCAACACCATGAAGACACAATATATATTCTAGTATATGTTGATGATATTATTATTATAGGCAACAATTCCATAGAAATCCAAGTGTTTATCAAACAGTTAGCAGAATGATTCTCGCTTAAAGATCTTGGATCCTTGAACTACTTTCTGGGCATAGAAGCTACATTCACATCTTTCGGTCTCTTTCTATCACAAAGAAAGTGCATTCAAGATTTGTCATCAAAGACAAACATGCAGGACGCAAATGTGGTTACAACCCCTCTCTACTAGTGGCTCTCTTAAATTATCTAATAGAAGTCCTACTACGGAATCCACTCAATACCGACAAGTCGTTAGCTCTTTATAGTACTTAGCTCTTACCCATCCAAACATCTCCTTTATAGTTAACAAATTATCATAGTTTACGTAGAGGTCATCTACTATGCACTAGTCTGCGGTCAAACGAATCATGCGATATCTTAAAGGGACACTCCTTTCTTCGTAAAAACTCTTCACTTTATCTTTATGCCTTTGCCGATGCCGATTGGGCAGACAACTTTGATGATAGAACATCCACATCGGGTATATTGTCTTCCTAGAGTTCTCATAAGTAAAAGATAGTCGCACGGTCTACAATTGAAGCTGAATATCGTGCCATCGTCATTGCTACTGCAAAACTTAATTGGGTCACAAATATGCTCAAGGAACTTAACATCAATTTCACTCCTACAATATATTGTGATAATGTCAGAGCTACCTATCTATGCGTTAATCCGATATTCCACTCTCATATGAAATATATTGCTATGGACTTCCACTTTGTACGCAATCAAGTTGTCCGTCGTCAACTTCGTGTTTCTCATGTACATATGACTGATCAATTAGCCGACTCACTCACGAAGCCTCTCGCTCGTAAACGTTTTGCATTGCATTGATCCAAGATTGGTATCCTTGATAGGAGCACCATCTTACGGGAGCATGATAGTAGATAAGATTTCTCTAACTGTATAAGAAAATCTCTTTATTTTGTTAAGAAAAATCCTTCGTAATAGGGAGATCACATGTTAATACAAATAGCTTCTTCCATAACTTTTATCTTCTATCCTCTGTTTTTAAATCTAAATAAGAGGACGGTAAGAAAGTCTTAAAACTAGCCCACATGCTTACGTGGACCGTGCTAGAAGTTTCTAAAGCCTTGACCGTGTCATTCCTTAATCCACATACACCGAACAGGTATAACTTAGATCGGAGATAAGGTATCAGATGCCATACGGCTCGTTGAAAGGAAGAAGCATCACACTACTAACATTTATTCTCCCTTAAGATCAAAAGCGCCCCACCTAGAAGGATCCAAGAAACTTCCTCTGCCTCTCCTTTATAAGAAGACAAACATCCAACTTCTTAGTTGGAACATGGTTTATCCAGTGGAATGAACCATGTCCCAGTCAAGTCTTAACGAAGCAAACCCCCATCCCACCTCCTCCCTCTTCCTCTCTCCCAAATGCTGACATGGGCAATGTGTTGACCCGAGCTCGAGTTATACTTCGCCGCCGGTCGCCTGTGCAACGTCAGAGTCAGCCCAGTATGAGGCGAAGTTCCCGGGACCCATCGGAGAGGCAGGGGACCACCACGAGACCTGCTGCCTCCGGGCCATCCACCGACCACCGAAGCCTCGATCGTAGGAGAAGTCAACTTATCCAGAAGTACGCCTTCATCCCTGACAACTACACCTCGGTCGACCAGGTTCAGCCTTGCAATGGACAGTTGCTGCGGTACCGGTGAGATGTAAGTTTAATGGATGCTGAATTCGCAGGTCACCGCTGCCTTGAGAGAAGCAGGTCTGGAGTCGTCGAATCTGATACTTGGGATCGATTTCACCAAAAGCAACGAGTGGACAGGTTTGTAGCAGACAGAAGCATTGTGTTTTCTGTGTTCTTGCTGCTGACGCTGCATGATTCTTCCAAGGGAAACTTTCTTTCGACGGCCAGAGCTTGCACAAGATCGGCGGCAGGTCGAATCCTTACGAGCAAGCGATCACCATAATCGGGAAGGTGTTGGCTCCGTTCGACGAAGACAATTTGATTCCTTGCTTCGGGTTCGGCGACCGTAAGGCCTCGTATGCTCTGCTGCTACCGAATGCATGCGTGTTCTTCTTCTGACATTTTTGCTCATGACAGACACCACTCATGATCGGGAGGTGTTCAGCTTCCATCCCGATCAATCTCCTTGCCATGGATTCAACGAAGTGTTGGCTTGCTACAGGAAGATAGTTCCACACTTGAGACTCGCAGGTGCCTCTTCAACCTACCGCTTCATCTTCTACGTCGCAGAGACCGAAACCTACTCTGACAGCTTTGTGTCTGTGTTTCCCGTAGGACCGACCTCCTTTGCGCCCATCGTGGAAGCCGCCGTCGACATCGTGGAGCGAAGTCGAGGACAATACCATGTGTTGGTCATCATTGCAGACGGCCAGGTTCTTCTCTTTGCTGCTTCTTCTCCCCCCATGTTTCCTCGATCAAGCAAGCATTGAGTACTGGTCGCATGATCTGTTGTGAAGGTCACCAGAAACGTGGACATAAACGACGGGGATCTCAGCCCACAAGAGAAGAAAACCATCGACTCAATTGTGATGGCAAGGTAAATGTTCATCGCTCATGGTTGTGCCCAAATATGTAAGCAAGCTTTCGAGCTAATCACATCCATCGTCAAAATCCTGTAGCGCTTATCCATTATCCATTGTGCTTGTTGGAGTTGGCGATGGACCTTGGGATGACATGAAGAAGTTCGATGACAGGATTCCGGCACGCGATTTCGACAACTTTCAGGTCCTGAAACATCGAGATCTCTTCTTCATCTTCTTCCAGCTAGATGATTCAAAGATGACTTGGTTCAAGTCGTATTGGTTTTTAGCTTCCATTCCACGATGCAGTTTGTTAACTTCACTGCTATCATGGGCAAAAATGCAAACGCAGCAGAGAAGGAAGCAGCCTTTGCTCTTGCTGCTCTGATGGAGGTCCCCATTCAATACAAAGCAACGCTGGAGCTTGGCATTCTTGGGTGGGTACGCCATTGCTGATTCCAAACCTCCTCTAACGATCGCTGCCTCTAATCCTCCTGTGTACAGGCGGGTGACAGGGAAGGCCAAGCGAGTTGTGCCACGGCCTCCCCCATTACCAGTCGCCCAAAGACAGAGTTCCTCGAGGCCTGCACGAAGCAGCTCAGAAAGAAACAGCGATGACCAGAACCAGGTAACACCACCACATTTACCGCATTCCAACCCTTGGAGATTGGAGCCATGTGATCGATCATTTCGGTTTGTTTTCTTGGCAGATTTGCCCGATTTGCTTGACCAATAAGAAGGACTTGGCCTTTGGTTGTGGCCACATGGTAAATCCCACCCCATCACATGCATCAATCAATCTTCTGATGCCCGATTGCTGTAACATCCGATCATGTCATCTCTCTCTCTCTCTCTCTCTTGCAGTGTTGCAGAGAGTGTGGTCAGAACTTGAGCAGATGCCCGATCTGCAGAGCAACCATAACGTCGCGCCTGAGGTTGTACTCCTGAAGGTTTGACCGACAAGAACTCGTGATCGCCGAAGGGTTGAACGCCAATAAAGTTTCATGTTATGCGTCTCCAAGTTATGTTTGCAGATTTCATGGTTGTGATTTTTCTCTTTGTTGTGTACTTTTATTCTCAGTAAGTACTCTGCTGTACAAATGTGTTCTGTATTAGTAAGATTAACTGCTGTACCACAAAGAACTATGTCTGTCAGTCTTGGTTCTCAAATTTGTACTAATAAATTTTTTTTTTTCAAATTTATATTAGAGAATATACAAAGAAAGTTATGTTTTGCATAAGGATAACTAAAGAATTATGTAATTAATATCGTATATTAAATAATTTAGTCTTTCAAAATAGATAGATAGAGTCGCACTTAACATTTTATATTGATTTTATGATATATTTCTTATTTATTGATCTTTGAATTTATTTTTTAATTTTTAATTTTTTTTTTCTACTTTCCCTCTACAACACTAATTGATACAGATATTGAGCTGAGGTGGCAGTTATTTATAAACTAGAAATATTATCATTAAATTGAATGGATATAATGTAAAAAATTATGAAAGAAATGGAGTCAATAGAAGGTGACAAAATATGACTGAATTAAAGTATGTCATATTCAACCATTTCTATTTTATTTTAAGATGCATTTACGAGGAACTCTAAATGTAATTACTATTAAGAATCGAAGCCAGCCGTAATTTACGTCGTGCCGTAAGTTGGAGGCGAGAAGCATCTATCGGAATCAGTAACGGAGCTGCACGCAAGCACGCGCGGATCCAACGGCTGACAGGCATGCGGTGGACGCAACAAAGACAACCGCGCCGTTGTTTGTCCACGGCGGACACAAACGGATGACCGGTACCCGCAGTTGTCGTATTCGGGTTTGGAAACTGGCACAATTTTTTATTTCCACGTTATGACGACTGCTCGATTGGTTTAGCTGTCTGGTGATTGGAGAAACAACATGACATGATATGGGTCCCGCTGTTGGTGTTGTGGTATGCTGACGTTAAGAGTACTAAATATATTTGGTTTTGGTGGAATGATGGGGATGGAATATTAATACTGACTTGTATCAGTCGTCCGGACAAACGCGGGCGTCGCTCTCGTTCCCAAATCCGACCTTAGCCTCTTTCCTCGTCGTCTCCGATCTCTTGGGCTTCCCAGCGTCTGATCTCGTCGATCATGTCGTCGGTAAGCGATCCTGCTCTTCTCCAGCTTTCCTTTGCGATTTGGATCCCTTTTCTGCCGGTTAGCCGTCAAAGCTTGCGTCTTTCTAGCAACCGGTAGGTCACATGGTGGTCATCTTTGTTTGTCTGTTCGAAACCGATGAATAGGATTTTGATTCAGCGCAAAGCATTGGAAATTTTCCTTGGAGTTTCGGAATCGGCGGAAATTTGGGAAATGAGTGGGTTTGGGTTTGTCTGGGGTCCTGGGACGGATAGGTTCGGCTTACTGGTTTTCACTACGTTTGGGGATGGGAAGAATGTTGCCGGAGGAACTTGATTATTGTTGACAGTGAGATCCAGTATAAAGCACTTGCCATACGGTTTTTTTGCGATTTATGCTTCTTGTTGGCTCCCACACTAGAACACTTAGATTTTTTTCTCGTTTGTGGTTTATAATGCCATTTGGGTCATTGTCATATTGCTTCTTGATGGCTTAGGAATTCTGATGAATTTAATGGTTCTAATTACGTAACATATTGTCACGGACTTAGCTGGTTTTGCCTAAATCGTGCGACACCCTTGCGTGTCCGTCCGCAAAGGTCAGTCTCCCCGAAGCCTCCCATTGTCCCTTAGGACCACCACAAGAGAGAACGGGTTAGAGAGAACGCCTCAATCGGGATCCACAAGCAAACATCTCTGAAAAACACTTCATAGACAATGCAAATTACAAACAGACTTTACAAGCTCTGAACAGTGGCAAAACAAAGGGTAAAATGGTTCATTACATACTGAAAATCTCTCGCACGTGTCCACATGACACAACCTTTATTTACAAGCCTAAAGAGGCCACCAACCCAACTAAAATGGGACTATTAAGCCTTCGGCCGCCCCTTTACATGCTGTACAAGACATGAATATGCCAAAAGACATGGACATACATAAGCATTACATCAAACACCTTGTTTGGAAGTTTGTCGGTGACATTCTCCCCCACTTATTCCTTCGACGTCCTCGTTGAAGCCTTTGTCGACACTGCAACTCCTCGCCTTTGCTGAGTCTTCAATCTTCTGCTCCAGCTACAATGCGTCTCTTGGCTCCTTGCTGCTCTCCGCTGCTGTTTTTGAGTAACTGAACCTTTGATCCGCCATGCTGCTTCAACTCACCAATGACTCTGACTCTGGTGTGGGGTTGATTGAGTTGTGTTGATCCTTGTTGATTCCTGCGGATCCCCCAGATGAAGGAAAAGACCATCCTTACTGCGCCAGTCTCTCAAATTCCTCATGCTGTTTGAACTGGGTGGATACTTGTTGGAGCTTTAACGAGCATCGTCTCGCAAACTTCTGAAGTTTTGGGTCCTTCCTCCACAACATTTGCTCATTGACTCTTCTTTCACTTAGTTGTCACATCCAAGTAGGTTCGCATCACTTCCGCTTTCGATTGACATTTCGTTGGGAAATGAAGCGGGCAATCTACTCTCAGTAGCACTGATCACCATTGGTGAGGATTTGACAACTATTGTCTTCCATTATCTTCGAAGGGTCTTTGAACTTGTGCATAGCTCCTCTGCTGGATAGATAAGAGAATTGGGGTACTCGGTTTCGCCCATTCTCTTAAGGGTTGAGAAGGCAAAAGTTACTTGACTTCGCCCGCCTCCTCGAGGTTGTACTTCATGCATCGAGCTAGTTACTGGTCTTCGCCTGCTCTTTGCTCACACTTCTGAAGCACTTGAAGTGTTTGCACTCCTTGCGTTGAGTTAGTTACTGTGATTCACCTTCTCAATGCCATTGAACTTCTGGAATGCAGGAAGTTTTCACCCCAACTTGGAGTAATTCTCTCATAGGTTTGGTCGCCTCTGGGATTGTACCGTCTTCTCCATCAACCCTGCCGCCTACTCCTCTGAGTAGCAAAAGTACAGCACCGCGTACTGCCTGCTTCGTTCCTTGGTTATGCACTCTTGCATGACCCAAAGTCCTTCACTTTCGGCTATCTTGATGAGAAGCACATTGACACCGGTCTTACGAAGTTCTTCGGCCTCTGCCCTTCAGCCTTGTCTCGATACTTGGAGATTGCCTCTGCATTCTCCACCTCCTGGGCCCCTTTCACGACCAAGCGCTCTCCCTCCATGAGAGCAAGGGATCAATGACTTTCACGGAAGTCCCGCCTTTGCGGTACCATGGCGCTGCCATGCCCATGGCCCTACTATCCGTCGCCTCGCATCTGCATCCCTTTTCTTCACGATCAGTAGATATGTCTCCGTGACACTCCTCTGAGTCCACCTCCATTCTAACTGATGCTTGATTTTGGGTAGCTAAGTCCCTCTGGACTCGTCGTCGCTTCCTCGCCTCTTTCGACCCCCTGCTTCAACACCTCTGTGTTCTCCAAGCAGTCCGTTTGGTCGATGGAAAGACAGACTGCAACTCCCATGCATGGCCTCTGCCATCACGTTGTAGGATTTGCACCGATTCTATTCTCCTTAGCTTCCTTGGTAGC